GGAGTAAACACGGGGGGGAGAGGGGAATAAACAGGCTGGAGAGGGGGGAATAAACAGGCTGGGGAGGGGGGAATAAACAGGCTGGGGAGGGGAGAATCTTGCAGGTACTTTATACCAACTTCTGAGATAGAGAACATTCTGTTAAACTCTCCATGCTGGTCACCAACTTGTCCTTACTGTCTCATGCCCTGAGGCTTCCCAGATTTTTCCAGAGTACTTGAGTGGAAATTGGGAAGAACTCAACTTGTTTTTGAGAGTTGCATTTTTAGGCTGCTGGTGGAGTCTTACGAAGTTTTCATTTTTTTGTCTCTCTTAAATTCCTGCCACTCTTCACAACGTCACAATTAAATGTTTAAAAATATTTCCCTTACTCATCACTGTTGTTGTGGGGACTGATCATTCTCTCTCATAAGGGTTTAATTTAGAAAATTCAGAATATCTGCTCAGAATCCCAGCTGATGTATTCACATCATTGTGTGTGTAAACTGTGAGTAACTGAATTCCTGGAGACACACTGAACATTTGGGTGATGAAAGCATTTGATCTTCCAAAATGTGGATAAAGAGCCACAGGGCTTAGGCCTAACACAGAGGCTCCTTAAAAATGTGTGATTGCTGGTAAATAACTGTTCTTTCCATGGAGAGAAACCTGGAAAATGAACAATTCTGGGCTTTTCCAAAGTGGTGTTTGATAAAGATTTGCTGGTTTTGGGACACCTGAGGAGGGAATTCTCTTGAACCTGCCCAAGGTGTTCCTACAGAAATTCCCTCTGGAGTGTGAGGGGTTGCTGCACTGGTTGGGTTTAGCTGCAGACCTGGGCACTGCTGAGGTTTAACCCCCTGCTCCTTCCCTTCCCAAGGGATGTGGGGCAGGATGGGGAGGGGGAGGAAACCACTGCATTGGGATGGAGACAGGTTAATAGGGAAAGGAGCACAGCAGGACAAGGAATTCATTCTCCATTTGGAGAATCCCGGAATGGTTTGGGTTGGAAGGGACCCCAAATCCCCCCCAGTGCCACCCCAGCCATGGCAGGGACAGCTCCCCCTGTCCCAGGAGCTCCAGCCCCAGTGTCCAGCCTGGCCTTGGGCACTGCCAGGGATCCAGGGGCAGCCCCAGCTGCTCTGGGCACCCTGTGCCAGGCACTGCCCACCCTGCCAGGAACAATTCCTGCCCAATGTCTGGTGTAAACCTGCCCTCCTTCAGCTTCCTCCTTCCCCCTGTCCCAGGTCCCTCTGCAGCTCCTTGGAACCCCCCTGTAGGCACTGGAGGGACCTTTCAGCCCCTGCCCACTTTCCCATCCCCAGGAGAGCTCCACTGTGCCTGATGGGGACTTGGGAGGTCAAGGCACCACCATTCCCAGTGTTCCCCTTCCTCTTCACTCAGCTGTCTCCTGCCCATGGCCCTGGGGTCAGCTGGGATCACCTCTCCTGCCTGTGTCCCCTCCCAGCTCTTTGTTGTCCCCTCAGCCTCTGGGATTCCTCCAGGAATAAAGGACCGTGGATTGGGATGGACAGCGGGAATTGTCTCAAACCTTTCTCTTCCGTGCTCTTTTAACAGGGACTCAGTGGCTCATCCCAGCAGAGGACTTGAAATGTGAATGGAGGAAAGAAAACCAGTCCAGTGCCATTCCTGGCCCTGGGCCAGCCTGGTTTGAGCCCTGGAGCAGCACAAAGCCCTGGAGAGAGCCCCTGCGGGAGAAGAACTGGGAGCAGCAGCCCAGCCTGGGCCGGGCAGGGGCTGGCAGGGGGCTGGGGCAGCCCCTGGGGAAGCTGACACTGCAGGTGAGGGCACCAGGGCCAGCCTGGGAGCCATGGGATGCTCCTGGCAGCAGCCTGCCTTTCCCCAGAACAGCTCCACAGTTCATTTCCCCCACATCTGACCTGGTCTGACGTTACAGGGATTAAATCCCTTGGCTTCAGGACACAGAGGGATGTAGCTGGCAGAACATCCCACCACACTAGTTTCCACACAGAAATAATTCTCAGGTGTACATAGCATGAGATCAAAATGAGTTTTTACTACTCTTTATTATTATTTTAGTTTTTTTTATTTTCTGGCCAGTTTATTTCCACACTGTTAAACCTCTGAGCACCTAGGACAGGAGTTTCAAGGACCAGCATCAAGGATACGAGTTCCATATTACACCCAGTATTAGGATGGGGTTTTTTCCCATGCTTTGGGGTTTGTGGTGGATGTTTTGTGTCTCCCCCACAGCTGCCAGCCCCGGTTTGTCTGTCTGTGTCCCCCCAGGAGGCCCTGGCCCTGCACCGCCCCGATTTCATCTCGCGCTCGGGACAGCGCCTGCGGCACCTGCGGCTGCTCCGCGAGGAGAGGAGGCTCCAGAGGCTGCTGCAGTCCCAGAGGGAGCTGCAGTCCCAGAGGGAGCTGCAGTCCCAGAGAGAGCTGCAGTCCCAGAGGCAGCAGCTGCAGTCCCAGAAGGAGCTGCAGTCCCAGAGGCAGCAGCTGCAGTCCCAGAGGGAGCTGCAGTCCCAGAAGGAGCTGCAGTCCCAGAGAGAGCTGCAGCCCCAGAAGGAGCAGCTGCTGCCATCCCAGCAGCTGTTGCAGCCTCCAGGGAAGAGACAGGCCTGCAGGACTGCAAATCACCGAGGTACTTCAGGGGTCTGCCTTGAATTCTTGGATTTCATGGACCCCACATTATGTTTCAGGGTGTATTTATTTATTGTTTGTTTCTCATAAAGGCATTACAGTTATTTAACCCTGCTGTCTGCAAGATCTTACAAAGAGTTTTTTGTAACAACTTCTCTAAAGCTGATAAAGGACTCACCTTGCTGCAGGAACAAACTTGTTCATTCCTTCACTGACCTCAGAATTTTCCGTTCAGGTTTCCTGATGAAAGAAAAAAGAAGAGCAATTCCCAAGAGAGAAATGTTTCAAAGATCTAAAAGGTAAAGTTCAGGGAGTTTTATTTCAGGTGGATCAGTGCCCTGGGTAGGGAAGAGCTCTGTCTGCAGCCAAAGAACCGGGTGTGCAAATAATTCAGCTTTTTCAGTGAAAAATGCAGGTGTCTCATCAGAGGGAGGAGAAATGTCCTACTTAGAAATTCCAAGAAAGAAAATCATATTGGAAAAGTGATTTCTGTAGCTAAAGCTGAGGGTTCTGCTGCAGTGTCAGCCACCCACAAACAGGGTCCCAAGTGGAGAGGGAGTGGGGCTGGGGGACACTGGAGCATCTGAGTTCACAAATTAACCAAGTGCTAATTGGGGCAGGAGTGAGGCAGCATTTCCCCCAAAGGAAGAGGCTTTCTATAGAAATAATCACCCCAAGAGAACCCAGGTGAATTTATCCAATTTACCCTTGGATAAACCACCCTAGGAAAGGTCTTGTCTTATTTTTGACTGCAGGAATTGATCTCTGCAGTGCCCAGCACGCTCACATGGATTTACCCTTTGGAGCAGCTGTGCTGCAGAGGGAGCCTGGGGAGGGATAACAAAAAGTGGGAGTTGATTGCAGCTGAATTTTGCTATAAATGGGATGTGAAGTGCTGGGCCAGGACCCCACAGAGGTGGCAGAGCCATTGGAAATGTGCAGTATCCTTGGAAATAATCACAGCTTGCTGGGATGAGGCCTGAGCAGCCTGACCCAGCCTTGGAATTAGCCCTGCTTTGAGCAGGAGCTTGGTGACCCCCAGAGGTTTCTGCCAACCTCAGTTTCTCTGTGATCCCACAAAATACCCACTGAAATATATAAAATAAACCCCTTGGTGACTTGTAATTATTTTAATGTTTTTTATGATACATTTTAATGATTTTTAGCATTTAAGAGTATTGTTAGGCTGTCTGGGGAAGGTGTCCCTGCCCATGGCAGGGGTGGCACTGGATGGGCTTTGGGGTCCTTCCACCCCAAACCATTCCAGGGTGCCACAATTGAAGGAAAATTGATTGGGGCAGCATCAGCACAGGAGACAAAGCAGGGCAGCACTACTGAAAGTTTGGAAATGCCTGAAAAGCCTCAGTGAGGTGATTGCTGTGCTGAACTCCTGCCATGGCAGGGGGGACGTGGCCCGGGATGGCTGGGGGTGTCCTGGGCTGGGGACACTGGGGACACTGAGCTCCACCTGCTCCAGCTGGGTCACCCCAGCAGGGCAGAGCTGCAGTGCTGCTCCGAGGAGCTGCTGGGGCAGGACAGGGAAACAGGGACAGGACAGGTGTTCCAGGGACAGGACAGGTGTTCCAGGGACAGGACAGGTGTTCCAGGGACAGGACAGGTGTTCCAGGGACAGGACAGGTGTTCCAGGGACAGGACAGGTGTTCCAGGGACAGGACAGGTGTTCCAGGGACAGGACAGGTGTTCCAGGGACAGGACAGGTGTTCCAGGGACAGGACAGGTGTTCCAGGGACAGGACAGGTGTTCCAGGGACAGGACAGGTGTTCCAGGGACAGGACAGGTGTTCCAGGGACAGGACAGGTGTTCCAGGGACAGGACAGGTGTTCCAGGGACAGGACAGGTGTTCCAGGGACAGGACAGGTGTTCCAGGGACAGGACAGGTGTTCCAGGGACAGGACAGGTGTTCCAGGGACAGGACAGGTGTTCCAGGGACAGGACAGGTGTTCCAGGGACAGGACAGGTGTTCCAGGGACAGGACAGGTGTTCCAGGGACAGGACAGGTGTTCCAGGGACAGGACAGGTGTTCCAGGGACAGGACAGGTGTTCCAGGGACAGGACAGGTGTTCCAGGGACAGGACAGGTGTTCCAGGGACAGGACAGGTGTTCCAGGGACAGGACAGGTGTTCCAGGGACAGGACAGGTGTTCCAGGGACAGGACAGGTGTTCCAGGGACAGGACAGGTGTTCCAGGGACAGGACAGGTGTTCCAGGGACAGGACAGGTGTTCCAGGGACAGGACAGGTGTTCCAGGGACAGGACAGGTGTTCCAGGGACAGGACAGGTGTTCCAGGGACAGGACAGGTGTTCCAGGGACAGGACAGGTGTTCCAGGGACAGGACAGGTGTTCCAGGGACAGGACAGGTGTTCCAGGGACAGGACAGGTGTTCCAGGGACAGGACAGGTGTTCCAGGGACAGGACAGGTGTTCCAGGGACAGGACAGGTGTTCCAGGGACAGGACAGGTGTTCCAGGGACAGGACAGGTGTTCCAGGGACAGGACAGGTGTTCCAGGGACAGGACAGGTGTTCCAGGGACAGGACAGGTGTTCCAGGGACAGGACAGGTGTTCCAGGGACAGGACAGGTGTTCCAGGGACAGGACAGGTGTTCCAGGGACAGGACAGGTGTTCCAGGGACAGGACAGGTGTTCCAGGGACAGGACAGGTGTTCCAGGGACAGGACAGGTGTTCCAGGGACAGGACAGGTGTTCCAGGGACAGGACAGGTGTTCCAGGGACAGGACAGGTGTTCCAGGGACAGGACAGGTGTTCCAGGGACAGGACAGGTGTTCCAGGGACAGGACAGGTGTTCCAGGGACAGGACAGGTGTTCCAGGGACAGGACAGGTGTTCCAGGGACAGGACAGGTGTTCCAGGGACAGGACAGGTGTTCCAGGGACAGGACAGGTGTTCCAGGGACAGGACAGGTGTTCCAGGGACAGGAGAGGTGTTCAGGGACAGGAATTCCCAGGCTCAGGCTGCTGTGGACTCCATGGTTTCCCGGTGGGACAGCAGCACGCTCCAGACACGTTTGCCAGGGGTGTGCTTGGCCAGCAGCCCTTGGCACGGTGGGGATGAAGCAGAGGGTGTGGATTCAGGCTCACTTTGCTCCCCGGTCAGGCTCTACGAGCAGCTCCCCGAGGTGAGGAGGAAGAGGGAGGAGGAGCAGAGGAAGCTGGAGTACAGCTCCCACCGCCTGCAGGCTCGGCTCTACAGAACTGTGAGTGTCCTTCTGCAGCGTGCCAGGCACGGGGATGGGCAGTGGGGAGTGGGCAGTGGGAATTGGGGGATGGGGAGTGGGAATTGGGGGATGAGGAGTGGGAATTGGGGGATGGGGAGTGGGAATTGGGGGATGGGCAGTGGGGAGTGGGGGATGGGGAGTGGGAATTGGGGGATGGGGAGTGGGAATTCAGGTGCTGGGCAGTGGGAATTGGGGGCTGGGCAATGGAAATTGGGGGCTGGGCAGTGGGAATTGGGGGCTGGGCAGTGGGAATTCAGGTGCTGGGCTGCCAGGGCTGTTCCATTTCACCAGGGCAAGGCAGCCAAGCTTTGTGACACCAGTTCCTTTCCTGAAATCCTCCCACTCCATGGAAAAAAGGTCCAGGTGGAATGATACAAAAAAGGGCTTGTGCAGGGCTTTGGGAGGAGCAGAGGGATCTTGGAGCACATTCCAGGAAGGACAGGTGGATGAGGATGCTGGGTTTGCTCTCCTGAGCCCTGGCTGTGGATGGATTTGGCTCAGGGAATTCCCAGCCAACTTCCCAGCTGTGCCTAACAAAGCCTGGAGTCATCCTTAATTTCCCAGTCAAAAGCTTGCAGTGCTGCTGGAAAGTGAGCTCAGAGGATTTCAGCAGTTCCTGCTGGCCCCTGGCAGCCCTGACTGGGGAGCTGTGGGATAAGCCAGTGTCCCTGAGCATGGACAAACAAAACTGGCTGGTTTTTAAACTCTGCACCTTAAACTTGCACCTCAGCTTCAGTGTTGAACTCCTGGCTGGAAGAACTCCTTTCCTGGGGTATTCCAGAGCTGGAATAATAGCCTTGGGTATTTGTTGGGAACAGCAGTCATTGGATTTTGGAAGTCAGCACTCGTAATGGATTCTCCAGAACATCTTCCTACTCCAATCTGGGGAGTTTACCACTAGAAAGACTTTAATTTGTGGCTATACTTGGGCAGGGTGTTTTCAGGACATCTTTTTTTCCCTGGTCTGAGAATTCCAGATGCTGGTTCAGTAAAGTTTGAGGAATTAATGGATTCTGGCAGCCATTGATAGAGTCAGCTGGAAGCAGGGAGGGAATAGGATCAGAACTTCTGTACATAAATATGGGTTTGATTGGGAGGGAGGTGATGATTCGTGGCAGTAAATAATTCCAAAGTTTTATTTTTCCCTGCTGGTGCAGAAAAGCTGCAGAGGGGAGCTGTAAATCAGGGAATGGTTTGGTGAGGATGGGTGAGAGCACCGGCTTCACTGTGCCCGGGAAATGAACCACGGATTTTGTGGAATGACTCCAAACATGAGACAGAGCTTAGGGGGGAGGAAGGAGCTGCTCCAGGAGCTCCATGGAGTGTGTGATGGGGCTGTGGGATTCAGGGAACCCCCGTGCCCCAGGCTGCTCCAGGGATCTGTTCCCGTGCTGGGAAGGGCTGTGTGGAGCAGCCCCAGTGCCCCCAGCAGGGAGCAGCTCCTTTAGCAGTTATCCAGGGAAAACACAGGAAAGGGAGGCAGAGTCAGCTCTGTGTGGGGCTGGGCACAGCCCCTGTGTTCCCTGACCCCAGGGCAGGGCTTGGGATGTGCCCTGTCCCAGAAATCAGAGAACCATGGAATCGTTCAGGTTGGAAAAAATCCTCTGATCCCATCCAGCCCAACCATCCCCAGCCCTGCCAGGGCCAGCGCTGCCCCTGTCCCCGAGTGCCACATCCAGGGGCTTTGGAACCCCCAGGGATGGGAATTCCAAACCTCCCTGGGCACTTCCAGATTCCTTTCCATGTAGGAATATTCCCAAAATCCACCCTGAGCTGCCCTGAGGCCGTTCCCTCTCCTCCTGTCCCTGTTCCCTGCGAGCAGATCCCAAATCCCCCCCGGCTGTCCCCTCCTGCCAGGGACTTGTGCAGAGCCAGAAATTCCCCCTGAGCCTCCTTTGCTCCAGCCTGAGCCCCTTCCCAGCTCCCTCAGGAATTCTCCAGCCCCTTCCCAGCTCCCTCAGGAATTCTCCAGCCCCTTCCCAGCTCCCTCAGGAATTCTCCAGCCCCTTCCCAGCTCCCTCAGGAATTCTCCAGCCCCTTCCCAGCTCCCTCAGGAATTCTCCAGCCCCTTCCCAGCTCCCTCAGGAATTCTCCAGGCTCACAGGGAGTGATTAAACTTTGGGAAAGGAAGCGATGAAGGAATCCATCCCATCCCATCCCATCCCATGGCAGGGACACCTCGCACAGGTCCAGCCTGGCCTCGGGCAGTGCCAGGGGGGAACAATCTCAGTGTCCAGGCTGAGGGATGAGATGCAGCTGAGTTTATTTGACTCAAAATAAGACCCCAAACCAGTGAATAGATTTGAACAAAATTTGCTTCAGTTTTGTAAAGCAGAGTGCAAATATCCCTGCAGGGCTTTGGAGGGGAAGGGCTGTCAGGGCTGGTTCCAAGGCATTTCTGTGACAGTTTGGGGCAGCTCACTGAGGTGAAAAGACAATAATAATAAGTTTTATTGGCACTGAGTGAGGATGATCCTGAGGGGAACCACCATGGGCCCACCTAGAACTGGAGCCATAAAATTCCCTGGGCTGGAGTGCACAGACATTCTCAATCTGTGAAATTGTTTAATGCTTCCCTTCATTGAGACAGCAAAGTTATTTTTATCACAGGGTGCATGTGGATCTGGGCTGATGTTCTGTCCCAGCAGCCCTTTGCTTTTGTACTTCCAATTTCAAATGGAGCATAAAATCATCCCAGTCAGATCAGGGGATGGGGAGGGCCCTGGAATTCTGCACGCTTTGTAGTGGGAACAGATTCTGATCTGCAGCAGCAGTCGGAACTTTGAACCCCAGTGAAGTGGGAATGGATTTTGTGAGTTTATCAGATCCAGATTGGTTCCATTCCTGAGGATTTCCCATTGGGTGGGGTGAGCCCTGTGGATGGGGAGAAAGCCCCTGAAGGCAGCAGCAGGTGGTGGCAGCTGTCCCTGTGCCACCAGCCCCAGCAGTGAGGAGGAGCATTGCTGCTGGCCAGGGACCAGGCTGGCACTGCCCCAAAGGGAAACAGCACAGGGAGCTTCTGGGCCTGGGGGAAGCTTCTGGAACCACCCCCTGCTCCAGGGACCTGTAGGATCCAAGCCCTGCTCACAGACCAGGGGTTCTTGTTGGGTCTGCTTTGCTTTGGTATTTTCACCAGGTATTTTCAGCTCCTTTTGGGAGGAGTTTGCAAATGACTCTTCCCGTGTTGGGTCCCAGGGTAGTGCAGGTTTCCCTCTGCTCCCCTCAGCCAGCCCATCCCTCCCTCTGGAGTCCTGCTTTATCCCACTGCTGATGGTGGAAATCCCTTCCTGGACCTTCCCTGGAGCTGCTGCTTGTCCTGGGACATCCCAGCCTGGGGCACACGCGGTGTGCTCGGGATGCTGCCCCAGGGAGCAGCCTCAGCCAGCTCCAGGGATAATCCCTGGCCTGTTCCTGCCAGGGACATCCTGCTGTTCTCTGAGCAGCCTCTGAGCTGCTGGGATTGTCCTGGAGGGGCTGAATTCCCATTCTGAGCTGCTCATTGTCCTTGCTGCCAGGCTGGACGGGGCTGCAGCCCCTGGGACACTGGGAGGTTAGGGGTTAGTGTTAGGATTAGGGGTTGGGGTTAGGATTAGGGGTTGGGGTTAGGATTAGGATTAGGGGTTAGAGGTTAGGATTAGGGGTTGGGGTTGGGGTTAGGGTTAGGGGTTAGGGGTTGGGTTAGGGGTAAGGGTTGGGGGTAGGGTTAGG